GACAGACAGGACACTCTCTGCCCCATGTGTGATCAAGAAGGTACCAGTGTATTTGAACTCGCGACTTGGGCGCTGTTGCTGAGCTTTTTCTTTTGACCCAAGGCTAGCACTCCACTATTTGAGCCATAGCTCTACTTCTTCAGGGTTTTTTTTTGTGGTTCACTGGAGAATGAACTGTGAGCCTCCAGATCTCAGCTTCCTGAGTAGCTAGGATGACAGGTGTGAGCCACCACCACCGGGCAGTCCTGCCTTTTCTTGGGCATGCATGGAGTGGCCCTGCAGGGTACACACACGGTCCTGTGTGCCATGCTCTCTCTCTCAAACACACACACACACACACACACACGTCCAACAGCAACCACAGCCCTGGCCCCAGTGATAGGTAGATACTCAGATAAGCACTGGCCACACATTCAATGAGCATGTGGAACTTGTATTCTCCATAGGGGATGAAAATTAGTAGTGGGGTAAGGACCCAAACAATACTAGCTGTGACTGATTTGTGGTCTCCCCAAAAAAGCCCAGTGCTCAAGTGTCAGTCCAGGTAGCAAGCTGTCCTTACTCCACTTCTGAAGGAGGGGCCCGTGGCTAAAAACGCATCTACAAAGACGATGAGAAAACTCACCAAGCAAGAGCGGCTCACGCCTGTTCCCCAGCCACTCAGGAGGCTGAGATCTGCAAGATCATGATCACCCCAGCCACTCGGAGGCTGAGATCTGGAAGATCATGATTCAAAGCCAGCCTGGGGCAAGAAAGCGCCACAAAAACTACCAAAAACACAAAAATGGAAGTGGAGCTGTGGCTCAAATGGTAGAGTGCTAGCCCTGAGCAAAAATAGAAAATAAAAAAGCTCAGGGACAGCATCCAGGTCCTGGGTTCAAGCCCTAGGACTAGCAGAAGAAGAAAAAAGGAGAAGTGGAAAAGAAAGAGGAAGAGGAGGAAGAGGAGAGGAGGAGAAGAAGGAGGAGGAGGAGAAGTGGAAGGAGGAAGGAGAAGGAGAAGAGGAGGAAAAAGAGGAGCTATGCATCTGGATACACTGATGTTTGTGCACACACACACACACACACACACACACACACACACCTGCTGTGCACTCAGTTCTTGAACATTCTCATTCACAGCCCAGGGCCCTCAACCAGGTGTCTCACTGCCCCAGCCCAGACCACTGCCACATCACGTACCCCAAACTTGGGAGCCCCAGGGAGCTGTTGTCCAGAACCCCTCTTCCTGTGATCCCTTCCCAGAGCCCCAGGGCTGTCCCCAAGAGCCCCCCAGCATCTTCTCACCAGGGCCCAGGGTACCTGGCCTTGCACAAAGTCACCCTTTCAGCCCCCCTGGGGCCCCCAGGCCCGCCCTGCACCCCAGTCTCCCACTACCTTGCTGCAGTACTTACTGGGTGCGGTGGCTTCTGACCTTCTGCTCTGCTAGCCAGGCTCACAGTGGCCCCTGGCCCCCCACTTGCCAGCCCCTCCCTGCCCTGGGGTGCCAGGGGCCGCCTGCCTCCAGGGCCCAGCTCCTCCCTGCCCTGGGATGGGCACAAAGAGCCCTTGTCAGCCTGAGCAGCCTGACGCCCGGGCTCCGCTGGGTCCTTCCTGCGGGGACAGGGCGCTGCTGCACCCCTCCGTCCTCCACCCTCATGCAGGGGCCAGGGGGGACAGGAAGGTTAATCTGTCAGTCCCAAATTGAAGGCACAAACCATTGTTTGTTCAACCCGGGGCTTGAACTCAGGGCCTGGGCACTGGCCCTGAGCTTCTTGTTGTTGTTGCCCAAGGCTGAGGCTCTACCACTTGAGCCACAGCTCCACTTCTGTCTTTTTTGGTGACTCATTGGAGATACGAATCTCATAGACTTTCCTGCCCCAGGCTGGCTTTGAACTATGATCCTCCAGATCTTAGCCTCGTGTGTGTGACCATCAATGCCCGGCTCAAACCATTGTCCTTTAAGGGTCTGGTGGTGTTATTGGTTGTATTCCTGAGGCCAGCAGAGGCGGGGTTTGACGGGGAGAGGAGACAAGTCTCCCCCCACCCCCGACGCCACACCCCTCCCCCCCACACACAGTGTTACCCTGCCATGTTTCCAGTCACTTGCCCATTTATTTATTTAGTTGCCAGTCCTAGGGCTTGAACTCAGGGCCTAGTGCTGTCCCTGAGCTTCTTTTACTCAAGGCTAGCACTCTACCACTTGAGCCACAGCGCCACTTCCAGCTTTTTCTGTTTATGTGATGCTGAGGAATTGAACCCAGGGCTTCAGGCATGCAAGGCAAGCGCTCTACCACTGAGCCACCTTCCCAGCCCACTTCCAGCTTTTTCTGAGTAGTTTATTGGAGATGAGTCTCACAGACTTTGCTGACCAGGTTGGCTTTGAACAGCAATCCTCAGATCTCAGCTTCCCAACTAGCTAGGATGACAAGCACGAGCCACTGGCCCCCAGCTCCTCATATTTTTCTTGCATCCAGAATGACCTTAAGTACCCAATGCCTCTTCTGAGAATACAATGCCCACTCCCACCCCCAAAGGCCAGGGCTTGGCTTTGCCCGCCTCCTTCTGATCAGTCCTGCTTGTGAGGTAGGGCCCTGGATGGGTTTTTCAAATGTCTTGGGGCACCCTGGGCTCCTCTTTCCTGGAAAGCAGACCCCATCCCAGACTTCTCCATCTCTTAGGCTTTGGTGCCATTTCCCTAGCTGCAGCCCTGCCCTGCGTGCTGTGCTTTTCTTTTCTTGTTGTGGTTTTGTGGGTACTCCAGAGGTTCAGCCACTACTTCATCTCCTATCCTGGGCAGGTGGGCGGATGGGGGGGACAGGGAGGGGTGCAGAAAGTGGAGAAACAGCCCAGCTGTCCCCCTGCCCAGTCAGGCTAGAGTAGTGGCCAGTGGAGGAGGGAGGGAGAGGGAGGAGGGAAGGAGGGAGGGAGGGTCCTCAGTCCCCAGGGAGAATGGGGAAATCCCTGGGCCCAGCGTGCCTTGCAGGACTCAGAAGGCACAGGGTCCCGCCCCACCCCCACCCGGCCTCATGAGGTCAGCCTCTGCCCGTGCCTCCCATCGGGCACAATGGCCCATTGAAGGAGGGGCGGGGCTTCCACAGCCCCACGGATCCCAGAGAAGAGTGAGACCTGGTGCCTGGGTTTTGGGGGTGAACACGGAGATTGTGGGGCGCTCTGTGTCCTAGCTTTCCATCTGGCTGGCTGTCAGCAGCTCGGCTGAGGGTGCTGAGGGGAGGTGGGGGTGGACATGTCCATTCTGACTGTGAACCCCACGGCGGGGGGAGGGGGGTTGTTGCTGCTCAGCGCTACAGTGGAGGAGGGAGTCCCCTAAGTTCAGGCCGATGGTTCCAGTGAGGGTGACTGAGGGGATGGATGGGGGGCGGGACAGACTCAGAAACCAGACTCACCCGCCTGGCTGTAGAGCTCATGGCTTTTCAAAAGAGCAGGTGGGATTCGATCCCTGGGCTTCAATCCCTGGGCTTCACACTCAGACGGTGAAGCCAGCAGCTAATGGCTCACGCCTGTCATCCTAGCTACTCCAGAAGCTGAGATCTGAGGCTCACAGTTTAAAGCCAGTCCCGGCAGGGAAGTCTAGGAGATTATGTCCAATTAATTACCCAAAAGCCATAAATGCTGCTGTAGCTCCAAGTGGCAGAGCACTAGCCTGGAGCACAACAGCTCAGGGACAGTGCCTAGGTCCTGAGTTCAAGCCCTAGGACCAGCACAAAACAAAACAGAAACCCTCAGAATGTCAGCCATGTGAGCCAGGATGCAGTGGCTTATGCCTGTAATCCACACTACTCAGGAGGCAGGAATCTGTAAAGATTACAGTTCAAAGCCAGCCAATTTGATAGACTTCATTTTCTTCCTCCTCCTCCTCCACCTCCTCCTTCTCCTCCTCCTCCTCTTCCTCTTCTTCTTCTTCTTCCTCTCCTTCTTCTTCTTCTTCTTTTTGTTGTTGTTGGTGGTGGTCTTGGACCTAGGCGCTGTCCCTCAGCTCTTCAACTCAAGGCAAGTGCTCTACTACTTGAGCTACAGCGCCACTTTTTCTAGTGGTTAATTGGAGATGAGTCTCACAAACTTTCCTGCCTGGGCTGGCTTTGAACTGTGATCCTCAGATCTCAGCCTCATGAGTCGTTAGTATTACAGGTATGAGCCACGGGCACCTGGCTTTCCCTCTTCATATATTAACCAACAACATCAAAAGCCAGGCTGGAAGTTTGGCTCAAGTGGTAGAGTACTAGCTGTGAACAAGAAAACTAAGCAAGAGTAACAGGCCTTGAGTTCAAGTCACAGTACCAATACGCACACACACACACACACACACACACACACACACACACACACACACACAACCAGAATGTGGCCAAGCTTGGTGGCTCATTCCTATAATCTGTGCTACTCAGGAGGCTGAGGATTGCGGGATTGTGGTTTGAAGCCAGCCTGGATAAGAAAGTTTGTGAAACTCTTATCTCCAATGAACCAGCAAAAGCCTGGAAGTAGAGCTGTACCTCAAATAGTAGAGAACCAGCCTTGAGCAAAACACACAAACACATGCATGCACATGTACACACACACCCCTCAGGGACAGTACCCAAGTCCTGAATTTAGGTCTGAAGACTGGCACGAAAAGAAATGAGAAGCTTGGGATCTGGAAGCTTAGTGGCATTTATGAAGCCCTGGGTTCAATTCCTCATTACCACATCAACATCAGAAGTGGCGCTGTGGCTCAAGTAAGTGGTAGAGTGTTAACCTTGAGCAAAAGAAGCTCAGGGACAGTGCCCAGGCCCAGAGTTCAAGCCCCAGGACTGGCAAAAAAAGAAAAAGGAAAGAGAAAGGAAGGAAGGAAGGGAGGGAGGGAGGGAGGGATGGAGGGAGGGAAAGGAGAAGAAAGAAAGAAGAAGCACAGCGACTCACGTTTGCAAAATAACAGCGGTTTTATTCCAAAATCACGGGTGAGGGGGTAACAGGTATAAATAAGGGGGGCTGAGGCTTCGGGTGGGGAGTGGGGAGCGGACCCCACTAAGTCTTGCAGCAAATGCCACAGGCTGATTCCATCTTGCAGCAGCCGCAGCAGAAGACACAGATGGGGAAGTGGCTGTCTCTCCGCTCTCTCAGCTTCTGGGGCACAGGCTGGAAGAAAGAAGAGGGGGTGAGCCCGGGGGGCTGGGGGAGTCTGTGCACAAGAAGGTGGACTTGGGGAGCCAGGGTAAATTGCTCTCACCTGCAAGCCCGACCTGGCTTCCGCTGTGTGCTGGGGCTGGAGGGCTGCGAGCTCTCCTGCCTACAAGACAGAAGGGACACAGATGACAGCGGGGGGCCACAGCACTCAGCCCTGACCTCCCCATCCCCCAGTCCTCCCCATCCTCCTCACCCCCCACCCCCAGTTCCCCAGGAGGACCTTGATATCTTGATTCCTTCACTCTCCCCCCAATCAATTCTTCCTAAAAATGCTGCTGCGTGCCGGTGGCTCACACCTGTCATCCTAGCTACCCAGGAGACTGAGATCTGAGGATCGCAGTTCAAAGCCAGCCCAGGCAGGAAAGTCCCCGTGAGACTCTTATCTCCAGTTAACCACTCAGAAACTGGAAGTGGTGCTGTGGCTCAAGGGGTAGAGCGCTAGCCTTGAGCACAAAGAAGCTCAGGGAAAGCGCCCAGGTCCTGAGTTCAAGCCCCACAACAACAACAAAAGTCCCAGATCTGTCTGTTCCTCTCTTTCCCTCCCTTCTCCCCCCCTCTCTCGCCAATCCTGGGGCTTGAACTCAGGGCCTGGGCGCTGTCCCTGAGCTTCTTTTGCTCAAGGTTAACACTCTACCACTTACTTGAGCCACAGCGCCCTCTACCACTTGAGGCTAGCCCTCTACCACTTGAGTCACAGCACCACTTCCGGCTTTTTCTGTGGATAGGACTCGAACCCAGGGCTTCATGCGTGCTAGACAAGCACTCTACCACTGAGCCACCTTCCCAGCTCACAATACAGGTTTTGATAAGGAACTCTCTCCTCTGCTCTCCCCGCTGGCCACGGAGGAGCTGACCCTGGGTGACCCAGGATGAGGCCCGTGTCATTAGGGCAGGCTTCCCCTAGTGCACCACTCCTAGTCTTCCAGCTGCAGTCAGGATCCCAACTGTCCTGCATGGTGCAGGGTGGGGGACCCCAGCACCCCCAAACCCCCCGTGGCTCTCACCTGTTGCTGGAGGTCAGCAGCACTGGCCAGGCTGGAGAGCAGGAGCAGCAGGAGGAGGCAGGCGGCGGGGACCCGAGCAGACAGTGCCATGGTGCCCCGTGCAGTCCGTGTGCTTGGCTGGGATCTGCTCTGAGTGTCCGTGGCGCAGTTAGTGGACTTTTATGTGGGTAGTTGGAGGAGGAGGGGTGGGGGGCGGGGGTCTGAACCCCCACCCCTTCACCCTGACTCATTTCTAAGAAGGTGGTGGCGCCAAAAGGTCTGGAGAGATAAGCGGGAATGGTGACAAGGGGATTGTGTCATCTTCGTCCCCGGGAGATGGGGGGGGGGGCAGGGTCGAGGTGACCCAGGTACCTGGGACTCTGGCAAGCTCCCTTTTCCTGCACATGATGTCACTCTGTTATCTTAGAAAATTTCCCTTCTTGCTGCACAAAGGTCTGGTGCCTCTTACCTCCCCCACACAGACTTTTTTTCCTGGTCAGTGGTAGGACTTGAACTGGGGGCCTGGGCACTGTTCTTGAGCTCTTTTGCTCAAGGCTGGGGCTCTACTTCTTTGAGCCACAGCACCACTTCATTTTCTGGTGGGCACTTTCCTGCCCAGGCTGGCTTTGAACCATGATCCTCAGATCTCAGCTTCCTGAGTAGCTGACAGGGGTAAACCCCCAGCACCCGGCCCCCTCACCCCATTTCTGAAGTCATTTCATTGTTCATGGCTGTCTGTAGCCATCAGAAAGGGTGTGCAATACTAGGGGTCAGGACATGGGTTCCCTGATACTTCTATCCTTTGAGCACGGGTGAAAGGAGGGGGGAAGGAGGGGAACATAGGGTTCCCCAAGGGCCAGGACTCTGGGCTCTCTTTTGACAAGAATCCTCTCAGGCTGTACCTGGTGCCATCTTACACACCAGTGTGACCACTATCTCTCCCAGTGCAGCCTGCCCCATCGGTGGCCCCACAAGAGGTTTTAGATTGTTGGCTGTGTTGTCAACCAATGATCCCAGGACCCTGGTCTCGGACACTGTGGCCTGTGATGTTTGTCATCAAGCTGTTCTGACTCCTGCTATAAACAAGTTTGTGGCGCTCACCCCTCCCCCGTTTGTTTGGGGTTTTTTTGGTCTGTTGTGGGGCTTGACAGCCTGGGCGCTGTCCCTGAGCTCCTCAGCTCAAGGCAAGTGCTCTACCACTTGAGCCACACTTCGGGTTTTCTGGTGATTTACTGAAGATGAGTCTCACAGACTTTCTTGCCCCAGCTGGTTTTGAACCGTGATCCTCAGATCTCAGCCTCTTGGGTAGCTGGGGTGACAGGCGTGAGCCCCCAGCTCTTGGCTCACCCCAACTCTTTAGCACCATCATGCTGGCACCTGAGACTGGCAGGGCTGGGTGTTTCTACCACAGAACTGGCCGATAGACAGAATTTGGTGTTTTGTGTGCAGGAATTGGGGCTTGAACCCTGGGCCTGGACACTGTCCCCTAGTAGCTTTTGTTTTGTTCAAAGATGGTGCCCTACCACTTCAGCCACACCTCTATCTTTTTGGAGGTAAAGTGGAGACGAGTCTCTTTCCTGCCTGGGCTGGCTTTGAACCACGATTCTCAGATCTCAGCCTCCTAAGTAGCTAGGGTTAGAGGTGTGAGCAACAGTGCCCTGCTTCAAGTTTCTTAGTTACTACCTTGATGCCTTCACTTATCTGCTTATGGGGACCCCCTCAGTACATGTGGCCCAGAGTACCCTAAAACCTGAATTCGAGATCCTGGAGGGGAACTGCTAGGGGATGGGGCTGGCGAGGGGCTCAGCAAGGTGAGCAGAGCGCAGGCTTCGCACCAGGGGCTGCACGGGCCTCCCTGGGGGGCACGGCCGGCACCCCAGCCCTGCTGCCAGGTTTCATCATCGGCCAGGGGCAGGGGTCACAGTGGAGGCGCCAGAGGCGCGGTGCGAGGCGACAGGCTGCCGGGCCAAGCCAGGCTCCCTGGCCACCTGCCCTCCCAGGGGGCGGGGGGGCTCAAGGCCGGGCCCCCTCATTGGCTGCTGCAGAGGGGAGGGCGGGAGCCAGCTGGGCTGGAACTGTTGACATGGGGGACCCCAGCCTCTTCTACTCCCTGGCCCTGCACCTCACCCCCTGGGGCCTGGAATTCCCCTATCCACCCCCACAGCAGACTGGGGACCTGTTGGTAGGGGGGTGGCAGGGCCTAGCCCCTTCCCACCCCCCCAAGATGGCCAGACACACAGACAGACAAGGCGGGGGCCGCAGGGGGCCAGTTTATTGCAGTTAAATACCTCTCTATTTTTTTTGTCCACTTTTCCATAAAGAAAATTAAAACACACACACACACACACACGCGCGCGCACACACACACACACGCACACACACATACACGCGCACACACACTCGGGGGAGCAGGGATCCAGAAACAAGAGGTGGGGTGGGACAAGGCCTCCCTGCATAGGCCCAGGGACCAGAGGGCCCCCCTCCCCCAAAGCTCCTTTCTTCCCATAAGCACCCTGTCTCAATTCCTCTAGAGACCAAGGAGGCAGTGGGAAGGGCAGGGCCTCTGTCCCCTGGAAGGAGGGTGGGGGGCGCCTGGTGCAGACCGGGAGACAGACAGACAGACGGACGGACGGACAGGGACTCATTTCCAAGTTGAGGAGGGTGGTGGGCAATGTATCCACAGAAATGCATGTATGTCTCCCCGTGTTTGTTAAAAATCTACTATAAAAAAATCGCAGCTGGGGGAGGGGCGTCGCCCCTCTGTGTGCTAAGGGCTGGGGAGGGCAGCGAGGCCGGCGGCGCACGGGCACCGGGCGACGGGCACCGAGGGTCCACCCTGCGTCACTGCCGGGTACCTTCGCCCACCAGCTCCAGGTTGTGCTGCTGTAGCTGGGCTCGGAGGAGGGCGTTCTCATTCTTCAGCTCCTCGATCTGCAGGTGTGTGACATGGGGGGGGATAATGTGAGGTGGGGCGGGGGGCCCGGCCGGCGGTGTCCTAGCCGGGCTCCAGGCCTGGCACCCACCTGCTGTCGGAGAAGCTCATTGTCCACCTGCAGTCGCTCGGCCTCCTTGAAGGTCTCCTGCATGCGCTGGTTGGTCTGCCTGAGTTCCCGGATGTAATCGCAGGCCTTCGACAGGATCCCCCCTTTACTCTGGGGTACGGGGTGGGCAAGAGCATCAGCGCCAGCGCTGCCCAACCAGCCCAGCCCCAGGACAGCGGTGGAAGGCAGGCACCGTGGCCTCCTGGCCCCAGGGAGCGGGGACACTCACCGCTCCTGTCTTACTGTTGTCCGCGTTACAATCTGGAATGATTTTGGAAAGTTGCACGATCCAGTTGTTGATTTTGTCCCTCCGCCTCCGCTCTACTGCAGGGAAAATGGCAGCATCCATGGCTACGGGGCCCTGGGCTCGGTGGGTCCCTTTGGCGGGCAGATGGTCAACATCGTGACTTGGCTACAGGCTGCCCTGCCGAGTCCTGGCCCTCCAATGCCAGGGCAGAAAGGAAAAACTAGGCCTCCGGGTTTGTGCTGCTAGGCCTGCCTAGCACACTCACAAGCATCTGAATCAACGTTTAAAATAAGGCCATTTCCTGTCAGCATCAGCAGCTTTGGGCTTGGGTCAACAGAGCTCTGGACACAGTGGGCTCATATTCTTGGGGGATAAGAAAGGTCTGGAAGCAGCCTGGTGCTGGTGGCTGACGCCTGTAATCCTAGCGACTCAAGAGGCAAAGACTGGAGGATCACAGGTCAAAGGCAGCCCAGGCAAAAACCGGAAGTGGTGCTGTGGCTCTAAGTGGTAGAGCACTAGCTTTGAGCAAAAGAGCTCAGGGACAGCGCCCAGGCCCGAGTTCAAACACCATGACTGAGGAAAAAGAAGGGAGAGAGAGTGAGCGAGAGCAAGAAAGAAATGTCCAGAAGCCCAGAAGCTTTCCCCCCAGGACTTTTGGCCCCCACAGCTCTGCTGTTTCTGTTTCATCGTCTCCGTGTCCCTGGGACCTATGAGGGCCTGGCACCCCATCTTCCTGCTGAGCAGTGTGTGGAGAGGGGGGCCTATGCCCAGGTAGGCCTTGGAACAGAGGACAAGGGAGCACTAGAGGAGGAGCACTCTGGATGGGCAAGGGCACCCCGCTTCCTCCTCACGTCCTGTCCCTGCACCTCCGTTCCATTCCTTCAAGGGAACCTCACGGAGCATGAACAAGCCGAGGCCGCGGCCTGCTCCTGGTGTGTCCTCATTGGCTGAGCCAGGTGCCCCTCATCCCATCACCAGCCTGAGTGTCAGAGGGGGGCGGCCCTCTGCTGCTGACCATGCCTCCCCTCCCCCAGTGAGCCCAACACCAAGGCTATCTGCCATTCAGCTCAGCCAGGGTTGGGCTACGTCATCCTATGGGCTCTCCTTCGCTGACTTGGACCCTGCCATCTCTCGGGTGCACCTCACTCCAAGCCATCAGCGGCAGGGGGTGTGTGTGCGCTCCCACATGTGTGTGTGCACACACACGCATGTACTTCAGATTATTTACTTCTGAAAAGGTGCATGCCCTGCACAAGGCTGGACCCTGGGGGTGGTCAGGCCCAGCTCTGTTGTGCACTCCTGCAGCAGCCCTGGGAAGCAGAGGACCACACATGATGCTCACCCCACAGCCATGGGAGAGGGAGGCAAGGACACAATGACAGGGAGGCGGGGGATGGAGGATCTTCAGAGGAGGCCCAGGAAATGCTGAGGCTGCCTTCCGAGAAGAGGATGTGACAGCATCCCCGAAATGACCACACAGAGCGGCTCTGGGGTGGAGCGCCTGGTCTGCTCTGGAGGCCTGGACTGTGGGGTCAGCCTGTGGCTTGGGAAGATCAAGGCCAAGGCCACGTCTACCCCCTAGAAGCTCTCAGATGCTCACGCAGCACTCAGTGCAACCAGGCAGTACGGAGGGGAACGACACATCTGCCAGTGGACTTGACCCCAGTGACTGATCGCCTCCAGCAACTGAGAAAACAAGCAGACTGCAAAAGCAGGGGGGACAGAAGTGGAGGTGTGGCTCAGGTGGTAGAGCACCAGCCTTGAGCCAGGAGGAAAAAGCCAAGTGAGAGGGGGAAGCCCTGAGTATAAGCCCCAGTAAAGACACAAAAACCAATCAAATGTAATAAAAAGCAAAGAAAGAAAAAACCACTCTGGAGAGAAATCTCAGCATCAGTTAGGTGGCCTGTAATACAGAGGGACTGTCTACCTACAACTGTCTCTGTCTCTGTCTCTGTCTCTCTCTCTCTCTCACACACACACACACACACACACACACACTCCCTAGGACACACTATCAAGGCCAAGGTGACTTACAACACAGAGATTCACAACCAGAGTACAGCACGTTCTGACAACAGATCTGCAAGGACAACAATGAACAAAAGCAGCCAGAAACTTCATGAACATTAATTAAGCAACGTACTCCCAAATAACCCAAGTCAAAGAAATCACAAGGAAAACCAGAGAACAGGTCAAACTGAGAATGAGAAGAAGCTATTGTAACAGTGACACAGCCTGTGCAGATCCATCAGCCAAGAGTAGTGGCTACGTGTGTCATTCTAGCACCCCAGAGGCAGAGGCCGGAGGATGGAGTAGAGGCCAGTCTCGACTATACAGTGAGACCCTATCTCAAAAAACAAACAGGGGCTGGGAAGGTGCTCAGTGGTAGAGCGCTTGCCTTGCATACATGAGGCCCTGGGTTTGATTCCTCAGCACCACATAAGCAAAGAGAAAAAAGCCAGAAGTGGCGCTGTGGCTCAAGTGGTAGAGTGCTAGCCTTGAGTTGAAGAGCTGAGAACAGCGCCCAGGCCCAGAGTTCAGGCCCCACAACTGACCAAAACAAAAAACAAAAAAACAAAACTGCAGGGTACCAGTGGCTCATGCCTGTCATCTTAGCTACTTAGGAGGCTGCGATCTGAGGATCACAGTTCAAAGCCAGCCCTGGCAGAAAAGATTGCGATACTCTTACCTCCAATGAACCATCAAAAGCTGGAAGTGGTGCTGTGGCTGAAGTGGTAGAGTGCTAGCATGGGGTAAAAAAGCTCAGGGACAGAGCAGAGCCTAGGCCCTACTAAGACTGGCACCAAAAAAAAAAAAAAAGAGTGCATGTGTGGAACAAAAAAAAAAAACAGGGGCTGGGAAGGTGGCTCAGTGGTAGAGCACTTGCCTTGCATGCATGAGGCCCTGGGTTCGATTCCTCAGCACCACATAAGCAAAAAAAAAAAAAGCTGGAAGTGGCGCTGTGGCTCAAGTGGTAGAGTGCTAGCCTTGAGCTGAAGAGCTGAGGGACAGCACCCAGGCCCAGAGTTCAGGCCCCACAACTGGACCCCCCCCCAAAAAAAAATCCAGCAAGTAAATAAAAGTCAAAGTAAAGAGAAGTGAGCGACTTCACACAGTGTTGTCAGTGGAACACAAAGGCGATCAGGCCTGGCATGGAACGCCAGCTTCCCTGTAAAGATCCAGACTTCTAGCCCTGGTCAGCCCCAAATTGTGCCCCAGCCACGGTGGGCTAAGCCATGCACTCTGGTTCACTCGGGTCCGGGGTCCTGCTCCCCGGAGTGACACAGCAGAGGCCTTCCTTCCTTGAGCCTCCTTAGAACACAGAATGGGATTCCCGGAGCCCCCAAAGCAGCCTGGGCTGTGACAGGGATCTAAGCACAGGGAGCCGTGTGTGCAGCATGGGAAGGGGGAAGCTGGGCCTGCAGCTCTGTTGGGGCCGAGCGGAGTGCAGGCTGCGCACAGCTCTGAAGGGAGTGTGGATGGAGCCAGAGAGGAAGATGGAGGAGAAAGACGATTTCAGTATCTCTAGGATCGTGGAGACAGTGAGGGTTGGGGTTCATCTTCCTCAGCCACAGACTCACATCCCTACCTGGAGGCTAACTTTGTAGGAGGACCGGGAGCAGGTCCTGGGGCTTGAACTCAGGGCCTGGGCACTGTCCCTAAAGTGTTTTTGTTGTTGTTGTTTTCCTTGCTCAAAGCTAGTTAGTGCTCTACCAATTGAGCCACAGCTCCTCTTCTGGCTTCAGTGGAGATGAAGAGTCTCAGGGACTTTCCTGCGCTGTTGGCTTTCGAACCATGATCCTCAGATCCCTGTTTTTCTGCTTAAGGCTAATGATCTATCACTCTTCTTGCTTTGTTTTATCCACTTAATTCAGTCATTTTTTTGGAGATGAGAGTCTCACAGGTTTTGCTGTCCTGTCTGGCTTCCAACCACGATCCTCAGATCTCAGCCTCCTGAGTAGCTAGGATTACAGGTGTGAGCCACCAGCACCCAGCTGAGGCTAATTTTTGCCCCAGCAGAACTTCTGAGGGCCAGGCCTGCCTGCCTGCCCTGAACCCCCTGTACTTCTGAGGCCCATGGAAGAGGGGCCAGGCCTTAGATCCCTGATCAAGGTGGCTTGCATGCTAGGTATAAATCAACTTCGGCCCCCTCTGATACACTCATCAGAAACTTCTAAGGGAGAGCCAGACTGGGAAGGAAAGTTGAGGAGCCTTGCCTTGCGGGCAGGTCAGGAACACAGGGGACTCAGAAAGGGCGGAGCATTAAGAACATTCCTGAAACAGGGACAGGCCAGTTTAGATGCTTGGCCCACAGACAGGAAAGGGAGCCAGTGGATTTGGCAATGGGTCATCACAGGTGATGTTTAATGGAGCCGCTCTGGTAAGGCCAGACTGCCAGGGGACTGAGTGAGGGGTGGATGGTGGGTCAGCCTGGGGGCGGGGGAATGAATGGATCTGGGCACAGGCAAGAGGTGGGAACCCTACCCTCCAATCCTCAAACTCCCCCAAGTTCCTGTTAACCAAACCCTAACTCCTCCTTTCTCTTTAGAACAACCCACCCTCAATGTCACGTCCAGATCCCACAGCTCTGAAGCGCACCCAGCTCTTCGTTCCTGCCCAGGCCAGGGTCCTACCTGAAGTCACCTCCAACTTGCCTACCCTTGAGTCCCACAATCCCCACCCCCCCACCTTCAATCTAATATCCAGCTAGATACAATTTCTCATGTCTGTAATCCCAGCCACTCAGGAGGCTGAGATCTGAGGATCTGGATTCAAAACCAGACCAAGAAGACAAGCCTGTGAGACTCTTCTCTCCAATGAAACACCAAAAGAGTTAGAAGGGGAGCGGTGGCTCAAGCGCTAAAGTGCTACCTTTGAGCACAAAAGCATCCAGGACCTGAGTTCAAGCCCCAGAACTGGCACACACAGAAAATAAATAGCCAGCTGCCAGTGACTCATACCTGTAATCCTAGCAACTCAGGAGGCTGAGATCTGAGAATCGAGGTTCAAAGCCAGCCTGGGCAAGAAAGTCTGTGAGACTCTTATCTCCAATGAATCACCAGAAAACGGGAAGTGGCGCTGTAGCTCAAGGGGTAGAGCGCTCGCCTTGAGCTGAAGAGCTGAGGGACAGCGCCCAGGCCCAGAGTTCAAGCCCCATGACTGACCAAAAAAAAAAAAAAAAAGAAATAATAAAAATCAATCCACAAATCCTCAGCTGGCTTCCTGTCACGCCAGGCGACCCTCCAGGACCAGAGACCAAGAGGAGGCTTGGGGAGCTTTGGCCCCTTCCTCATTCCCAGAGTCCCATGCTTCCAACAGCTGAGGGCCTCAGCAGACCCTAGGCCTGTGGCTCTTCCCCACCCCAACCCTTGTCATCGCTCCTGCCTTCAAGGCCCCTCCAGGCCTTTGTTCTAAGACCTCTCAAAGGGTCTTCAAAGTCAGCTATCATTCCTCCAACTCAGCTCTCATCTTTCTCTGGTTGCCCAGCCATGCACCCCAATGCTTGTGACACAACATAGCCCAGGACCAGCACACTGGGGGGCCAGGGGTCAGGGAGCTGCACAGCTGTATCACAGCTGGAAGCCAGATGGCACAAGCAGCTTGGAAGAGCAGAACAGGCCCCTTACCCCACATCCAACCCCCTCAGCACCTGACATGCCATTCAAGGCTTCCAGGGACCTTCCTGAAAAGTTCCCCCTCCCCAGCCCGTGCCCCGCCCCCCCAAACCACCACACCCCTTCCACCCACCACCCCAGCCTTCCTTGTGTGGCCTTGCCTCGCCTCATCCCCGTTTTCCGCCCCTCCCCAGAGCTTCAGATGCTCCAGGCTGGGCCACAGACCTGGCACAGGCCCCATGCCACCCCGCCAGGTTCAGTAAATATTTGTTGAAGGCTGGCTATTTGGGTGTCAGGCTGCCATGTGTGCCAGGGTGGCAAAGGACCACGGCAGAGAGACCTCAGGGTGGGATCTAAGCGTTCTGGGAAGGGATAAGGGAGACATATGCTGGCCTTGCCTAGCCAGCGCACAGCTCGCTCTTCCCAGCTGCCACTGCTGCAGGGCAGCTGGCAGGGGAATGGGGTACGGGGGGCACAAAGGCACTCCTATGGAAGGCCAGTCCGGGACAACCAGGCCAAGCCAGCTTTTCAAGAGGAACAGGAAAATCCACATGTGATGGCAAAGCCTGCCATTTTAGACACTGGTCATCAATACAAGACAACTGGCCAGACTGAAGTCACAACCGGCTGACCTCTTTCTACTTCCTTCCTTGGCCTCTCCATTTCCACCATGCTAGCCTGCAACGAATGCCTCTCCAATACTTGGAGCATGCCAGGCGATGGGCCTGTGCTGCCACCCTGCCCCTGGCTGGGCCCAGAGTGTCCTTACCCTCATTGTGCTGGGCTCTCCTCCTCTCATCCCGGGGCGTTCTGGTTCCATCGATTTTTCTAGAAGAAGGAGGACAAAATGCACATATATTATCTCAGGTCCACTGTCTCAGATTTGACAATTATGTTGGCAAAGTAAACCCATGTACAGAAAGGTAAATGGCACCAATGGCTCGTATCTATAATCTTAGCTATGCAAGCGGCTAAGAGCTGAGGATCTGGGCTTGAAGGAAGTTCAAGAAGGAAAGTCTGTGAGACTTATCTCCAATTCATCAAGAAACTGAAAGTGGAACTGTGGCTCAAGTGGTAGAATACGAATCTTAAGCAAAAAAGCTTAGCTCCAGGACTGGAAGAGAGGCAAAGAGAGACAGAGGGAGAAAGGGAGAGAGAGGGAGGGAGGGAGGGAGGGAGAGAGGGAGAGAGAGAGAGAAAGAGAGAGAGAGGGAGAGGGGGGGGAGACAGACAGAAAATGCGCATATACATGTAGGCAGTTTCTAAACTGGCTTCTTAGAAGCAAAACCCAGCTTAAAAAAAATACAGGCTGGTACCAGTGGCACACACCTATAATCCTAGCTATTCAAGAGGCTGAGATCTGAGGATAATGGTTCGAAGCCACCTCAGTCAGACAAACCTGAAACTTTTTTAAAAAAATTTTTTTGGTCTACCATGGGCCTGAACTCTGGGCCTGGGTGCTCTTTAGCTCAACGCTGGCACTCTACCACTTGAACCGTAGCGCCACTTCTGGTTTTCTATTTTATCTTGTCGGAGATAAGAATCTCATAGACTTTCCTGCCAGGGCTGGCTTTGAACCACAATCCTCAGATCTCAGCCTCTTGAGTAGCTAGGATTACAGGCTGAGCCACCGGTGCCTGGCTAAACCCGAGACCCTTAACTTCAATTAACCATTAAAAGCAAGAAGTGGAGCTGTGGCTCAACTAGTAAAGGGCTAGCCTTGAGCACAGAAACTCAGGGCAGCACCCAGGCCCTGAGTTCAAGCCCCAGAACTGGCACCAAAAAATAAAAAAAGGGAGAATTCCAGCCTGTCCCTGCTGTGAGCTAACCTGCTCCTAGGCCCAAAATCCCTCTCTTCCCCCAGTCTCAATATGAGGCCCTCCCAGCATCCTCTGTTCCTAAGTTGGAGAGTCCTGCACATACGGAGAGTAGGGGTGCGTCCGGGGTGCAATTGTTCTCTGTGTTCCTGTCTGAAGCACATCCTGGGGCGTCATCATGACATAGAACTGGCCTGCAGAGATGCAGGGAGGAAAGTCAGCACAGGCTGAGGGGCTCCCCTCCCCCGCCCCCAGCAGCCCCTTCCTCTCCTTACCTCCTGCCTGCAAGCTCTGGTCTGTGGTCTGCACCGACACAGCTGTGGAATCGCCCACACTGGACGCTGGGAAATAGGCAAACCTTGCCTCTCCACTGACAGCCTCAGCTGCTGGGCTGCCACCATTACTAAAGGGGTTTTGGATTACAGCCTGCAGATAACAAGTGAGACAGACAGACAGTCAGACAGACAGGCTAGCCTCAGCTACCTTTGTCACCTCACCCATCCCATCTCCCTTTGTTCCTGAGCATCAAATTATTTGTCATGGGGCTTGAACTCAGGGCCTGGGCACTGTTACTGAGCTTTTCTGCTCAAGGCTAGCGCTCTACCACTTTGAGCCACAGTGCCACTTCTGGTTTTGTGGTGGTTCATTGAAGGTAAGAGTCTCATGGACTTTTCTGCCTGGGATGACTTTGAACCATGATCCTCAGATCTCAGCCTCCTGAGAAGTTAGGATGACAGGCACGAGCATCCAGCACCTGGTGCCCTGCTTGGTGTTTATTTAGTGTGTTCTTTGTGGGGAGGGGAAAGTCCAGTGTGTCCCATTCTGTTCCCCCCTTTCAGTCCTTGCTGGCTAGATACACAGCTGTCACTTGCTAAACAGCATCCCATTTTATAAATTAAGAAGCAAAAAAGAACACCATACACACACACAAACACACACACATACACACACAGGGCTCATGCCTGTAACCCTAGCTATTCAGGAGACTGAGATCTAAGAATCATGGTTCAAAAATTCCTTGAGACTCTTATCTACAATTAACCCTGTAAAAAAAAAAGACCAACATAACACTCAGGGACTGAGCCTAGATCCTGAGTTCAAATACCAGGACAGGCCTATCTCTGGACCTGACCATGTGTACACTTCCTGTTGTGCCTTGGGGGGGGAGGGGCTCCCCAATGGCGGAAGCAATGTCCCTTCTCCATGTGTTCCCCTCCCTCTTACCCACCCCGGATGTTGCTGGTCACCTACCAGGGGGAAGGGGGCTGCTGGACCTGGGGGCACGGAGGAAGCGGTAGGGCCGGGACGCTGGGTGGCCCCATCCACACCCACCTGGGCCACAGCCTGCTGCCCCCCAGCAAAAGCAGCGGTGGACACGACGCTGACAGCACCAGCCGTGTCCCCCTGGCCGTCCAGCTGACCATCAGTCACCTGGACTACGCGGTATGTCACCTGCAGGGGGCCGTAGAGAGACAAGGACTGATGCTGGAGGGAGGGGGGACCGGCCCCGGGCGTGGAGCGGGAGCTGCTTCTCCCCAGGGCCTGCCTTGAGCCCACCTTGGGCACCCCGACTTCCGGCTCACCTGTCCTCCATTATTCTCTGTGCGGAACTGGTACTGGATGTTGTGGTCACCGAACGCCGCCTGCTGGACGCTGGCGATGGCCACCGCCGTCTGCTCCTCCGCCCCAGGACCGTCCCCGCCTGAGACCCGAAGGGCAAAAGTGTTGAGAGGGGTGGGGCGGGGGGGGGGGAGACACGATCAAGGGGGGGGGTGTCGCCATGACGGGAACCCCAGCACCCCCAGGTCTCAGTGGCACCCCCAAACAGACGCCCTCACCTTCTTGCAGCTCGACGCCCTCCTCAGCCTCGGGTCCCTTGTCGTGGCTGCGGGGAGGACAGGAGGCAGGAAGCGAGGTGGCGGAGGGGGCGAGGGGGGTCACGCCTGGCTGTGCACCCCCGGACTAAGTGCAACGCCCCCCCACCTCCCAGTGCTTT